ATTGCTTTGCCACACTTTTTGAAGCAAGATATTGGGATTTTATGCAATCTTGATAGATCAACTTCTATTAGTGATGAACATTCTTGAAAACAATTTGTTCCAACAATTTCTAGTTGATTATTGAATTCAAGTTTTTGGAGACTAAAGCATCCGAGAAAACAGTGAGATTCTAAACGATAAATAATGGACCTTTCAGGTAGTTTAATTGATGTTAAATTTGTGCAGTATGCAAAACAGCCTTGGGGAAAATATGTAGCATTTAGATTAATTCTATTGTTTTCACACTTGTGCAATATGCAAACATACCTTCTTTCAGTATTATATTTGAATTAACAATTATTTTTTCCAAATAATTTGAATAAGAAAATGCATAAAAGTTAATATATTTCACAAAATCTGGAATTGTCAATTCCTTGCTTCCAAACTTGCCGGATAGGCATATAAAGTTTCTAAATTGCTGTGATTTTTTCATTGTATTCAAGTAAAACAACATCTGTTGGCCAATAATAATCAGGCCTGCTTTGAAAAATATTATTATTGATTATTATTTCCTTAAGAGGTGTATTATAAAACGCTGTGAGAGCAATTTGCCTAACATTGGTTAAGTCCAAATTTGAAATGTTTGTATTAGCAAATGCATAAGGGGAAATACTTTCAATTGAATTACACAACTGTACATCTGTCAAGCTTTCGCAATTTTCAAATGCATGAATATCAATTTCCCTAATCCCACAGCCCTCTATGAAAACTACTTTTTTCAGCTGTTTGCATCCATAGAAAGTTGGTATTTTGCTGGAGTTAATTGTTAATTCTTTAATTAAGAATATTGAAGAGGAATACTTATCTGAAAAATAGTTACTCCATAAAACTTTAATTATTGTTCCATATGTTTATATCAATCATTGGACATAATTCGAATAAACTTGGTTCAACAGTCATTTCGTGATCTCCCCATCCAATAATTCTTTAAGTTTTGGACAGTTAAAGAAGCTATTTTCTGTAAATTCGTTTGCAAAATGAAAGATCAACTGATTCTACTTCTGGCAAAATCTCCAAATTTTTAACATATTCAATTCCATTTGGTAAATTTTTGAGTTTTGGACAGCCAGCAATATTAATAGTACACCTAAAATTCGGATCAACAGGAGTAATATTTCTTCAATATTATAGTTTATCAAGTATATATATTTGAATCACTTTGATTTCATTGTTTTAAGATTTGGAAAATTAAGAATACATCCATATTTAACCATAAAAGTATCATCTTGATTAACACAATTAATTCTTAAGTGGTAATGTTGAAAAGGCAGAACTAGACATAGCTAAACTACGAAGAGTAATTTCTTCTATAGCTGTAAACAATAATGATGTATCATGAAAGCTCCATGTTTCTCTGAAGTTATATTTAAATATAGGGTGTCCAAAGGTGCGTTTAGCACAGCGCTCTATATGAGACTATTAAAGGAGATATATGCTGATTATAAATATATAATAAAAAATATGAATATATGTATATGATGAGTAAGTTGTATTTTGGCGCCATGCCGGGATATAAAATGAATTTTGAGACAAGAGGCGGTTTCGCGGGAAATTTTGGCGGGATTTTTTTCATTTTTTTAATGAATCATAAAGAAAACATCCTCGCTCTTGCAAAAAAATGCAAAGACTGTAAAAAATCTACGAGACATTGGTAAAATGCTTCGGTATGGATGCTCCTAGCTATTCCACTGTAACGTATCATGTTAGGATGTATCACTTCATGAACAAAAAGGCGCCCATCATAAAAATTGACAAAAAATCGCCGGATCAAAGAAAAATCAAAGCAATTCTTCAAGCGCTAGATGAAGACCCAAGAGCATCACTCAGAAGGATAGAGGAGATGACAAAGATACCACGTACAACAGTCAGTTATTATCTGCACAATTATTTGAACTACAAACTAGCGTATACACGTTGGGTTCCGCACAACCTTAATTCAGTTCAAAAAAATCTAGAGTCCAATCTTCGAAAGAGCTCCTCTCTATATTGCGTGCGTATCAATCCAAGAAGTTTCGCTTTTTAGTAATAGGGGACGAGTCTTGGTTTCAATATGCAACAGAAGCCAAAATCATGTGGATCCCGAAGGATGAAAATCCGCAAACATTCCCGAAGAAAAAAATTGACACACCAATGATTATGTTGTCGGTTTTTTTGGGGCGTGAATGGCATCATCGCAATTGATATTCTTCAAAAACCTAATACGATGAATGCTCAGTATCTAATTGACAATGTTCTTACTCAAATTATCAATTCTGATGAGTTTGAGAAATCCAAACAACAAAAACAAAAGTTTGCAATTCATTTTGATAATTCAAGAGTTCACAAAAGTCATAAGGTAATGAATTACTTGTTGGAAAACAATGTCAAAGTTGTTCCAAACCCAATTTATTCACCTGATATTGCACCCTCTGACTTTTATTTATTCGGCACGCTAAAAAAGAGAGCTGAAGGACGCGAATTCGCGAGTCCAGATGATCTTGAAAATTTTGTAAGAGAGTAATTTGAGCAATTTTCTCATGATGATTTAAAGCGTGTCTTTGAAGCCTGGATCGATCGCTGCGAACGCGTGATTGAATCCAATGGTGATTATATTTAAATAAACTTTATATATATGTAACTTGTTTATTTCTATTCGCAGTATTCAGGTTTGTGCTAAACACACCTTTGGACACCCTATACTTTAAGAGAAGTACAGTTACAAAATGAATATTCTCCAAAACCAGCGCAACTTGAAACAAAAGATGTTAAACTAATGCAGTTATAAAATTCATATTGAGGTACGTATCTAAAGTCAGTCGGAAGATTTATTTCTATCAAAGAAGTATTGGAAAAACATGAATTATTGAGGAATTGAATACTGTTTAAATTGACCGATTGTAAATTGATACAGTTACAAAATGCTTCTGTTTCAATTGTATTAACATTTTCAAGATTAATCTGAGAAATTGAAGAACTGAAAAAAGCTCTGTTAGATATAGTTTTAATGCTTGATGAGAGAATAACACTCTCGATGTTTTGATTATTTGAAAAAGTTTCCTCGGGAATTGAATCTATTTGAGTTGATAGTATTTCCAGAATTTAGTGCAATATAATCCTTCCATTGTTGGCATTGATTGGAATGAAGTACCAATAACAAGTTTTGTAATTCCTTCAGATTTAATTTGTGAAATTTTTGCTTCTAAATTGTCACCAGCTTCAATTGTTATTGATTTTGGAGCTTCCATATTATAATTTATTGGGTAATTTAACAAAGAATTCCATATGATACCATTTAACATGTTGAAATTTATCACAGAAAAATTGAATTCAAAAGTTAATATTTAAAAATGGTTGAATTTTGCATTTATGCTAACTATAGAAAGATGTGTAGTTTACACGATTAAAAAAAATCAATTCAAATGAAATGAACGCTGCATAAAAATGATAAAATTAATGTGTTTAATAAATTGTATGCATAATAATCATTAGCAAAATAACCTTAAAAGAAGATTTTACACAATCATTGGCAAATCGCTGACAAATATAATCATATAAAATGGCTTATATTCTAGTTGGTTAAAGTGTATTTCAAATTAAATTCCTAAAATGCCATTTCAAATCTGGTTTTTTATTTTTCAGAAAATTCAATTAATTCAAAATTAAATAGCTTGACATTTAAACTAGTGAGGGATATTTTATAATTGTTTTAATCTTTTAGGATTTATTAACGATAAATTTAAAATCATTTTTTGATAGAATTATTTTTTGAATTTTGATTAAATTTTAGTAGGAATATTTTAAGCCTTATAATGTTAAACTTTTTTTGTAAACTTATCAAATTATCATAGTACTTTAAACCAAATATCAATGCTTTCATCCATTATTATCAAGTCATTAATCACCAAACATGTTATTACTAACGATCAAATTACTATTCAAGGTACTAAAATGATTTTCGATAACCCAAATGATTTTCAAGATGAAGAAAATCTCTTAACTCAAATGAAAAGTGCAAACATTGATACAATACGACTTGAAGGATCATCAATAAACAATATGCCAACTTTCATTGGTATCCAAATGGTTAAAACTTTTGAATGCGAAACATCATGTAGCATTCCTCAGAAATATTTCTATCAGAATCAAAATATTAGAAATGTTTTTCTAGGAAAAAATGTTGGAGCTATATACAATTATGCATTTGCCTATTCCTCCTTAGAATTTATTGATTATTCTGAAACAACATATATTACCGATGGAGCTTTTGCTAATTGTACACATTTAGATATTTCCAAAGTACACAAACTAAGTTATGCCTGTTTTTATCACACAAATTTGAAAAATATAACGATAACGGTTGGTGGATCTGTTTCGATAAACTATGTTTGGTATACAGCTATAAATCACTATGCATTTTGTGAATGCTATAATTTAGAATCTATTACTATCAATATTTCATCATTTATTATTGGTACAAATGCATTTCAGGATTGCTTCAAACTCAAAGAAATTATAATTCCTGACAATTGCGAAATAACTAAAATTTATGCATATGCATTTGAAAATTGCCCATTAGAATCTATTAATCTTAAAAATGCAAAATATTTGGGTGACTGTGCTTTTAGGAATACAAAACTAAAGCAAGTCACCTTAAATAAAGCATCTCTTGGAGATCATGTTTTTGCCCATTGCGATGATCTTATTGAGGTGAATATTATTGACAATTTGGATTCAACGTCTATATTTGAAGGCTATAGTTCTTCGAGAAGTTCAAAGGAATTTTTTATTGCATGTCAATCCCTCGAATCTGTTGATTTGGGTTTACAAAAATACACGCATATTGGAATGTTTAAGAATTGTTTCAATCTAAAAGAAATTAAATCATCAAATCCAGATCTGAAAATAGGTTTAGAATCTTTCTTCTCATGTTTGAGTTTAACAAAAATTACAACAAATATATCTGAAATAGGAGAGAATGCTTCATGTTCTGCAAATCTTTGGAAACTATTGATATCACAAATGTTGTAAAAATTAAATCACGTGCATTTTATGGATGCGAAAAATTGAAGAATATTTGGCCACAAGTTCAAGGAGAAGATTACGCATTTGCGTTTTGTAGTTCATTAGTTGACTGTAATGTTCAAATACATGCTGGAATAGGTTTATTGATGAATTGTACAAGTCTTGAATCAGTTACACTTCATGGAGTTCAGTATATTCCAGATAAAATGTTCTTTGGTTGTTCCAAACTGAAAACAGTTGTATGGCCAGATATTCTTAAAGGAATAGGAAATTATGCATTTTACGGAACCAGTCTTGAAGTTCCATTTTTGGATCTCTCTGATACTGTGGAAATAGGCAATTTTTCATTTAAAGGAACAAAAATTGAAAAAATAAAATTTGGCAGCGATTACGTTTATTATCGTAAAGAATGTAGTAAAACATATTATTCAGTGTGTCCAGGTGTTAGTGTGACTAATGAAATACCATTTATTGGGGTATCAACAATAAAAGAAATCACTCTGGGTATAAATGTGACAGAATTCAAAGCTATCAATTTTCAAGATTCTTATGATATCAACATTAAATTAGATGAGGGATCTGGTTTCCAAATTGTTGACGGAATGCTTATGAAAGACAATGAAATATTATATTATATTCCTGGTCAATCAACAAGGAAAACTATCACAATTACAGGTCCATCATCAAAGAAAACATTATCAAGCTCAATTACAAAAATTCATCCATACGCATTCACAACATCAAAATTAGAAGAAGTAGTAATAAATAGTTACATTGAAATCATGGAGAAAGCATTCTATGGATGCAAATCTCTTAAATCAATCACATTTAATTTTAATCAACCACAAAAATCATTAGATGCTAGTATTTTTGAAAATTGCATCTCATTGACAACTGTTAATTTATGTCCATCATTCAAAGAACTTGGTGAAAGTTCATTCAGAGGTTGTACTTCATTAGAAACAATTACAATTCCAGAAGGTACAGAACGTATAGGCAGTTATTGCTTTGCAGAATGTAGTAAATTGAAGAATATAAACTTTCCATCGAATCATCTATATGTTGGTGACTATTGCTTCTCAAATTGTCAAAGCTTAACAAATCTTGATCTTATCAATAATCTTGAGTTTGGATCATTTGTTTTTAATTCATCATCACTGATTTCAGTTAAAATTAATGCATCCAATATATATAAAGGAATGTTTAATATGTGTGATAAGTTACAAAAGGTAGATATCCTTGGAGATGAAGGAGATAATTATATTGGATCATATTTCTTTAATTCCACAAGTATATCTGAGATCTATTTGCCATCTAGTATTAAAAGCATTGATGATTTTAGTTTTGCTTTCACGAAAATCAAATTTTTCTTTATTCCAAAAACTCTAACATCAATACATCCTCAAGCATTTTATGGTATTGAAGATATTGAATTAGAATTAGATTGCGATCATCCAAAATTTATATTGGGGGCTCATGAACTTATCGATAAAAATACAAATACTTTATTAATGACATATGGAAAACTTCTATCAACATATATTGTTCCTTCAAGGGTAAGGCACATTGCAGTAAATGCAATAAATTCATATCCAAAATATAATGAAACTTCAAGAAAAGTTATTGATTTTGGAGTCACAACTTTAGTTATCAGAACAAAAGTAGAACTCAGCGAAAACTTTGGATATCGCCCTGAAAATTTTGTTCCGCATAACAATTTTCCAATTTATAATGCACCGTATTTGCACAATCTTTGTTATGGTGGAACCGTTAGATCAACAGGCATCTACAATGTTCCAAGAGTTTTTGTTTCAGATAATTATGCTAGATCAATTTGGAATCAAGTACCAAGAATTATAGCAATCAAAGATGAATGTGATTCATCAGTTCCATTTGAGAATTATGCAAAATATGATTATACTTATCCAAAGAATCCAAAGTATATTCAGCTTCCTGAGCAAATTCTTCCACAAGAAGCTAAAAAGTGTGCATTGATTGATGATCCATATGAAATTCCTAAAGTTGAACCAGAAATAAGTCCAGAAGAAAATTCACAAGATCAAACAGTTTCACAGAGTTCATCACAATCTGGAAACTCTGCATCTTCAGAGACTAATAATTCAGCACAAGTTACTGAACTAATCAATATTGATGAAATAAAACCTAGTCAAACTAAAAACACAATGTTAACATACATCCTTCTTGCAGTTGCAGCAGCAGAAGTTTTGATGGTTGCAGGATTGATTGCATTCTTGATTCATAAGAATAGAGAAGATAGTTCAGAAGAGAGTTTCGTTGAAATGTCAGAACATGTTATCACAAATCTCTCTACCGAGATTACATTTACAAACCCACTTTTCTCAATGAACACAACTATTGAAGATGATCCATTTGCAAGTGACTTTGAAGAACATGCAAATAATGACGAAGGTTATTTCGATAACTGTTTATGCGATGATGAATAAAGATTATTTCAATAACAATGCAAACAGTTTGACAAAAATTTTGATTATTTTTAAACAGCAAATGCATTTGCAACCATTGAATGAAAAATTGTAAACCATGGAATGAATGTTTATTCAATAGGCACATTTAATGCGTTAGGTGTAATTTAACTGAAAAATTATTTCAAATTATAATGATTATTTAATAAATCATTCTCATTGCAATGTGAGTAATGCCAGTTAACATAAATTTGAAATAATGTCATATGTTAACTTGAAATTTTATTCATGAGTAATTTTCAAGGAAATAATAGAGAGAATAAGTATAATCACTGTCAATATGGAGATAAAAACTAAAAGAATTACATGAATAGAAGAATATGTTCTATAGTTTTCTAAAAAAGGAAGAGATTGATTTGCATAATCATAGACGGTTGAACTTGTTATTTGTTCATCAATATGAAAATACGATTCACCAATGTATAAACTATTGCTCAATTTATAAGTTGGTTCATATTTTCCTTCTTTGGCATATCTGTCAATATTATTTTCATCGCTAATATCCATCCTGCAATCTTCAATTGAGTATGTAATATATGAAGGCGACTTTATACATATATTTGAAATGTATCTAACATCGAAAAATTCACTGTCTGAAATATCTGAATTTATTATTAACTTGCTGATTGGTAAATCTAAGATTCCATCTCTTCCAATTACTTTTACTTTTGAGGGTAACTCGAATAAACTTCTCTTTTTCCAAAGAATAAACATCAAACCACCCGTCTTGTTCATAAAACAATCATTTTCTACATAATATATAGGATGCCCTTCTGAGCTAAACTTAAATTCAATGTGACTTGATTTTTGAAAACTGGTCGTATTAATGTCAATTAATGAATTTGGAATGTATAATTCAGTTATTCCAACATTATAAAATGAACAATAGCATATCTTCCTGATTTTTTCATTGAATATGAAATTGATAAGAGAAGTGCAATTAGAGAAAGCATATTCATCAATAATTATCAGGTTTTCTGGGCAAATGAATTCAACAATTTGTGAATCCATATACGCTTCCCTATTAATCATATTTAAATTAGTTCCCAAATGCAAATTTATATTGCTTTGCCCACACTTTTTGAAGCAAGATATTGGGATTTTATGCAATCTTGATAGATCAACTTCTATTAGTGATGAACATTCTTGAAAACAATTTGTTCCAACAATTTCTAGTTGATTATTGAATTCAAGTTTTTGGAGACTAAAGCATCCGAGAAAACAGTGAGATTCTAAACGATAAATAATGGACCTTTCAGGTAGTTTAATTGATGTTAAATTTGTGCAGTATGCAAAACAGCCTTGGGGAAAATATGTAGCATTTAGATTAATTTCTATTGTTTTCACACTTGTGCAATATGCAAACATACCTTCTTTCAGTATTATATTTGAATTAACAATTATTTTTTCCAAATAATTTGAATAAGAAAATGCATAAAAGTTAATATATTTCACAAAATCTGGAATTGTCAATTCCTTGGCTTCCAAACTTGCCGGATAGGCATATAAAGTTTCTAAATTTGCTGTGATTTCTTTCATTGTATTCAAGTAAAACAACATCTGTTGGCCAATAATAATCAGGCCTGCTTTGAAAAATATTATTATTGATTATTATTTCCTTAAGAGGTGTATTATAAAACGCTGTGAGAGCAATTTGCCTAACATTGGTTAAGTCCAAATTTGAAATGTTTGTATTAGCAAATGCATAAGGGGAAATACTTTCAATTGAATTACACAACTGTACATCTGTCAAGCTTTCGCAATTTTCAAATGCATGATAATCAATTTCCCTAATCCCACAGCCCTCTATGAAAACTACTTTTTTCAGCTGTTTGCATCCATAGAAAGTTGGTATTTTGCTGGAGTTAATTGTTAATTCTTTAATATAAGAATATTGAAGAGGTGAATACTTATCTGAAAACATAGTTACTCCATAAAACTTTAAATTATTGTTCCATATGTTTATATCAATCATTGGACATAATTCGAATAAACTTGGTTCAACAGTCATTTCGTGATCTCCCCATCCAATAATTCTTTTAAGTTTTGGACAGTTAAAGAAGCTATTTCTGTAAATTCGTTTGCAAAATGAAAGATCAACTGATTCTACTTCTGGCAAATCTCCAACATTTTTAACATATTCAATTCCATTTGGTAAATTTTTGAGTTTTGGACAGCCAGCAATATTAATAGTACACCTAAAATTCGGATCAACAGGAGTAATGATTTCTTCAATATTATAGTTTATCAAGTATATATATTTTGAATCACTTGTGATTTCAATTGTTTTTTTAAAATTAAGAATACCATCCATATTTGAACCATAAAAAGTATTCATCTTGATTAAACACAATTAATTTCTTAAGTGGTAATGTTGAAAAGGCAGAACTAGACATAGCTAAACTACGAAGAGTAATTTCTTCTATAGCTGTAAACAATAATGATTGTATCATGAAAGCTCCATGTTTCTCTGAAGTTATATTTAAATATAGGGTGTCCAAAGGTGCGTTTAGCACAGCGCTCTATATGAGACTATTAAAGGAGATATATGCTGATTATAAATATATAATAAAAAATATGAATATATGTATATGATGAGTAAGTTGTATTTTGGCGCCATGCCGGGATATAAAATGAATTTTGAGACAAGAGGCGGTTTCGCGGGAAATTTTGGCGGGATTTTTTTCATTTTTTTAATGAATCATAAAGAAAACATCCTCGCTCTTGCAAAAAAATGCAAAGACTGTAAAAAATCTACGAGACATTGGTAAAATGCTTCGGTATGGATGCTCCTAGCTATTCCACTGTAACGTATCATGTTAGGATGTATCACTTCATGAACAAAAAGGCGCCCATCATAAAAATTGACAAAAAATCGCCGGATCAAAGAAAAATCAAAGCAATTCTTCAAGCGCTAGATGAAGACCCAAGAGCATCACTCAGAAGGATAGAGGAGATGACAAAGATACCACGTACAACAGTCAGTTATTATCTGCACAATTATTTGAACTACAAACTAGCGTATACACGTTGGGTTCCGCACAACCTTAATTCAGTTCAAAAAAATCTAGAGTCCAATCTTCGAAAGAGCTCCTCTCTATATTGCGTGCGTATCAATCCAAGAAGTTTCGCTTTTTAGTAATAGGGGACGAGTCTTGGTTTCAATATGCAACAGAAGCCAAAATCATGTGGATCCCGAAGGATGAAAATCCGCAAACATTCCCGAAGAAAAAAATTGACACACCAATGATTATGTTGTCGGTTTTTTGGGGCGTGAATGGCATCATCGCAATTGATATTCTTCAAAAACCTAATACGATGAATGCTCAGTATCTAATTGACAATGTTCTTACTCAAATTATCAATTCTGATGAGTTTGAGAAATCCAAACAACAAAAACAAAAGTTTGCAATTCATTTTGATAATTCAAGAGTTCACAAAAGTCATAAGGTAATGAATTACTTGTTGGAAAACAATGTCAAAGTTGTTCCAAACCCAATTTATTCACCTGATATTGCACCCTCTGACTTTTATTTATTCGGCACGCTAAAAAAGAGAGCTGAAGGACGCGAATTCGCGAGTCCAGATGATCTTGAAAATTTTGTAAGAGAGTAATTTGAGCAATTTTCTCATGATGATTTAAAGCGTGTCTTTGAAGCCTGGATCGATCGCTGCGAACGCGTGATTGAATCCAATGGTGATTATATTTAAATAAACTTTATATATATGTAACTTGTTTATTTCTATTCGCAGTATTCAGGTTTGTGCTAAACACACCTTTGGACACCCTATACTTTAAGAGAAGTACAGTTACAAAATGAATATTCTCCAAAACCAGCGCAACTTGAAACAAAAGATGTTAAACTAATGCAGTTATAAAATTCATATTGAGGTACGTATCTAAAGTCAGTCGGAAGATTTATTTCTATCAAAGAAGTATTGGAAAAACATGAATTATTGAGGAATTGAATACTGTTTAAATTGACCGATTGTAAATTGATACAGTTACAAAATGCTTCTGTTTCAATTGTATTAACATTTTCAAGATTAATCTGAGAAATTGAAGAACTGAAAAAAGCTCTGTTAGATATAGTTTTAATGCTTGATGAGAGAATAACACTCTCGATGTTTTGATTATTTGAAAAAGTTTCCTCGGGAATTGAATCTATTTGAGTTGATAGTATTTCCAGATATTTAGTGCAATATAATCCTTCCATTGTTGGCATTGATTGGAATGAAGTACCAATAACAAGTTTTGTAATTCCTTCAGATTTAATTTGTGAAATTTTTGCTTCTAAATTGTCACCAGCTTCAATTGTTATTGATTTTGGAGCTTCCATATTATAATTTATTGGGTAATTTAACAAAGAATTCCATATGATACCATTTAACATGTTGAAATTTATCACAGAAAAATTGAATTCAAAAGTTAATATTTAAAAATGGTTGAATTTTGCATTTATGCTAACTATAGAAAGATGTGTAGTTTACACGATTAAAAAAAATCAATTCAAATGAAATGAACGCTGCATAAAAATGATAAAATTAATGTGTTTAATAAATTGTATGCATAATAATCATTAGCAAAATAACCTTAAAAGAAGATTTTACACAATCATTGGCAAATCGCTGACAAATATAATCATATAAAATGGCTTATATTCTAGTTGGTTAAAGTGTATTTCAAATTAAATTCCTAAAATGCCATTTCAAATCTGGTTTTTTATTTTTCAGAAAATTCAATTAATTCAAAATTAAATAGCTTGACATTTAAACTAGTGAGGGATATTTTATAATTGTTTTAATCTTTTAGGATTTATTAACGATAAATTTAAAATCATTTTTTGATAGAATTATTTTTTGAATTTTGATTAAATTTTAGTAGGAATATTTTAAGCCTTATAATGTTAAACTTTTTTTGTAAACTTATCAAATTATCATAGTACTTTAAACCAAATATCAATGCTTTCATCCATTATTATCAAGTCATTAATCACCAAACATGTTATTACTAACGATCAAATTACTATTCAAGGTACTAAAATGATTTTCGATAACCCAAATGATTTTCAAGATGAAGAAAATCTCTTAACTCAAATGAAAAGTGCAAACATTGATACAATACGACTTGAAGGATCATCAATAAACAATATGCCAACTTTCATTGGTATCCAAATGGTTAAAACTTTTGAATGCGAAACATCATGTAGCATTCCTCAGAAATATTTCTATCAGAATCAAAATATTAGAAATGTTTTTCTAGGAAAAAATGTTGGAGCTATATACAATTATGCATTTGCCTATTCCTCCTTAGAATTTATTGATTATTCTGAAACAACATATATTACCGATGGAGCTTTTGCTAATTGTACACATTTAGATATTTCCAAAGTACACAAACTAAGTTATGCCTGTTTTTATCACACAAATTTGAAAAATATAACGATAACGGTTGGTGGATCTGTTTCGATAAACTATGTTTGGTATACAGCTATAAATCACTATGCATTTTGTGAATGCTATAATTTAGAATCTATTACTATCAATATTTCATCATTTATTATTGGTACAAATGCATTTCAGGATTGCTTCAAACTCAAAGAAATTATAATTCCTGACAATTGCGAAATAACTAAAATTTATGCATATGCATTTGAAAATTGCCCATTAGAATCTATTAATCTTAAAAATGCAAAATATTTGGGTGACTGTGCTTTTAGGAATACAAAACTAAAGCAAGTCACCTTAAATAAAGCATCTCTTGGAGATCATGTTTTTGCCCATTGCGATGATCTTATTGAGGTGAATATTATTGACAATTTGGATTCAACGTCTATATTTGAAGGCTATAGTTCTTCGAGAAGTTCAAAGGAATTTTTTATTGCATGTCAATCCCTCGAATCTGTTGATTTGGGTTTACAAAAATACACGCATATTGGAATGTTTAAGAATTGTTTCAATCTAAAAGAAATTAAATCATCAAATCCAGATCTGAAAATAGGTTTAGAATCTTTCTTCTCATGTTTGAGTTTAACAAAAATTACAACAAATATATCTGAAATAGGAGAGAATGCTTCATGTTCTGCAAATCTTTGGAAACTATTGATATCACAAATGTTGTAAAAATTAAATCACGTGCATTTTATGGATGCGAAAAATTGAAGAATATTTGGCCACAAGTTCAAGGAGAAGATTACGCATTTGCGTTTTGTAGTTCATTAGTTGACTGTAATGTTCAAATACATGCTGGAATAGGTTTATTGATGAATTGTACAAGTCTTGAATCAGTTACACTTCATGGAGTTCAGTATATTCCAGATAAAATGTTCTTTGGTTGTTCCAAACTGAAAACAGTTGTATGGCCAGATATTCTTAAAGGAATAGGAAATTATGCATTTTACGGAACCAGTCTTGAAGTTCCATTTTTGGATCTCTCTGATACTGTGGAAATAGGCAATTTTTCATTTAAAGGAACAAAAATTGAAAAAATAAAATTTGGCAGCGATTACGTTTATTATCGTAAAGAATGTAGTAAAACATATTATTCAGTGTGTCCAGGTGTTAGTGTGACTAATGAAATACCATTTATTGGGGTATCAACAATAAAAGAAATCACTCTGGGTATAAATGTGACAGAATTCAAAGCTATCAATTTTCAAGATTCTTATGATATCAACATTAAATTAGATGAGGGATCTGGTTTCCAAATTGTTGACGGAATGCTTATGAAAGACAATGAAATATTATATTATATTCCTGGTCAATCAACAAGGAAAACTATCACAATTACAGGTCCATCATCAAAGAAAACATTATCAAGCTCAATTACAAAAATTCATCCATACGCATTCACAACATCAAAATTAGAAGAAGTAGTAATAAATAGTTACATTGAAATCATGGAGAAAGCATTCTATGGATGCAAATCTCTTAAATCAATCACATTTAATTTTAATCAACCACAAAAATCATTAGATGCTAGTATTTTTGAAAATTGCATCTCATTGACAACTGTTAATTTATGTCCATCATTCAAAGAACTTGGTGAAAGTTCATTCAGAGGTTGTACTTCATTAGAAACAATTACAATTCCAGAAGGTACAGAACGTATAGGCAGTTATTGCTTTGCAGAATGTAGTAAATTGAAGAATATAAACTTTCCATCGAATCATCTATATGTTGGTGACTATTGCTTCTCAAATTGTCAAAGCTTAACAAATCTTGATCTTATCAATAATCTTGAGTTTGGATCATTTGTTTTTAATTCATCATCACTGATTTCAGTTAAAATTAATGCATCCAATATATATAAAGGAATGTTTAATATGTGTGATAAGTTACAAAAGGTAGATATCCTTGGAGATGAAGGAGATAATTATATTGGATCATATTTCTTTAATTCCACAAGTATATCTGAGATCTATTTGCCATCTAGTATTAAAAGCATTGATGATTTTAGTTTTGCTTTCACGAAAATCAAATTTTTCTTTATTCCAAAAACTCTAACATCAATACATCCTCAAGCATTTTATGGTATTGAAGATATTGAATTAGAATTAGATTGCGATCATCCAAAATTTATATTGGGGGCTCATGAACTTATCGATAAAAATACAAATACTTTATTAATGACATATGGAAAACTTCTATCAACATATATTGTTCCTTCAAGGGTAAGGCACATTGCAGTAAATGCAATAAATTCATATCCAAAATATAATGAAACTTCAAGAAAAGTTATTGATTTTGGAGTCACAACTTTAGTTATCAGAACAAAAGTAGAACTCAGCGAAAACTTTGGATATCGCCCTGAAAATTTTGTTCCGCATAACAATTTTCCAATTTATAATGCACCGTATTTGCACAATCTTTGTTATGGTGGAACCGTTAGATCAACAGGCATCTACAATGTTCCAAGAGTTTTTGTTTCAGATAATTATGCTAGATCAATTTGGAATCAAGTACCAAGAATTATAGCAATCAAAGATGAATGTGATTCATCAGTTCCATTTGAGAATTATGCAAAATATGATTATACTTATCCAAAGAATCCAAAGTATATTCAGCTTCCTGAGCAAATTCTTCCACAAGAAGCTAAAAAGTGTGCATTGATTGATGATCCATATGAAATTCCTAAAGTTGAACCAGAAATAAGTCCAGAAGAAAATTCACAAGATCAAACAGTTTCACAGAGTTCATCACAATCTGGAAACTCTGCATCTTCAGAGACTAATAATTCAGCACAAGTTACTGAACTAATCAATATTGATGAAATAAAACCTAGTCAAACTAAAAACACAATGTTAACATACATCCTTCTTGCAGTTGCAGCAGCAGAAGTTTTGATGGTTGCAGGATTGATTGCATTCTTGATTCATAAGAATAGAGAAGATAGTTCAGAAGAGAGTTTCGTTGAAATGTCAGAACATGTTATCACAAATCTCTCTACCGAGATTACATTTACAAACCCACTTTTCTCAATGAACACAACTATTGAAGATGATCCATTTGCAAGTGACTTTGAAGAACATGCAAATAATGACGAAGGTTATTTCGATAACTGTTTATGCGATGATGAATAAAAATTTATATGAAATGAGATTATAATCTTATTTTTATTTCCATTGTCTTTGATATATTTGCATTTAGCATGAATTCGCATTTGTTTACACTATCATACTTGGATATAACTTGATTTATTAAAAATAATTAATATTTCATTATCTAATTTTGCAAGAATAGAATGTATCAGAGACAGTATCTTTTTGTATGCAATATTTCTGGTAAAGTAGCCTATCTTTAGCAATTTTAGTAAAACTTCGAATATCTTAACATTGAAAAAGAAATGAAAGGTCTAGTAATTGAATTTTATTTACCAATACTGTATAGTTATGTACAATATATCCGAAATGTTAAAAATTTAAAAATTTTGGTCTAATAGTGTAAACAGATACTAACATAGTGAGAGCAAACATATAGTTATTATGTAATGTACGATGGCAATGCAGTAATGTATTTTCAGTATGAATAATTTAAAAAATTGGAATTATTTCATGATTGAAGCACTAAATGATAAGAAATGAATTGCATATCATGAAATCAACATGAATGAGAGATACATCGCGGGAGTTATGCGTTTTTATACTTTTAAAATTTTTGGATTACACAAAAAATTTTTTTGAAAAAAATCTCCGATCAAGTTCTCAGAAAAATTGAGAGTAAACAGAAATTCCGATCACCATCAAAAGAAATGGAGACAACAACAGAAACGCCGAGCATGAATATCATGTGCCATGAAGCAGTCAATGCTCGTCAAACAAGTCCAACAGTGCCCGGAGAGTTTATAAGAAGTGCCTTTTTAAACGGCTTCATTCCGAAGACACCAGATCCTTTCGCTACCAATCAAATGCCAGCATTTGTGCATGTAAGACCATTTCCACCAAACGTTACTCCATTGAGAATCAACTGTACTAAAGGAGATGTCGTTAGATGCTCACATTGTCACGCTTACTTATCCCCATTCATTAAAGTTGATAAAGGAAATCAAGCTTGGAGATGTCCTTTGTGCAATAGGATAAACTCAACTATCCATTTCACTTCGACCTTCGATATGACTTCCAAAACAGACAGACCAGAGCTCCATAACATGGTATTCGACCTTATTTTACCTAAAGAGCAATATAAGAAGCGTTGTGAAACCCGTTCTTTCCTTTTTATTGTAGATGAAAACGTATTATCCGACAAAAATGGCTGTTTCGAACAAACATACGAATTTTTCGCTTCATTGAAAAGCATGGTTCAGCCAGATGATATTATTTCTTTGATTACTTATGGAGGTTCGACTTCAGTCCTTAATATTGAAAAAATGACAGCAATGTTATATCCAGAATATGATCCAGAGATTGCACAATTACCAACTCCGACGAAAATCGGAAACAATTACGAGAATTTACTTTCATATGTAAAATCTTGCCTGAATCATAGGGAAACATTCACTCCCAACCTCGAGGATGCGATCAAATGGGGATGTTTACTTATGGAGAAGTTCGGTGGAAGAGCAATTCTCCTTTCAACAGGAATTGCTCCACAAAACACTTCAGAACTTGTTCCATTACTCGAAAAATCAGTGATGTCTTTATCAGTTTTGACATTCAACCACTCTCCACCTCTTCAAACCCTTTCTATCAACACAGGAGGTGAATATTCAACGTACAGCAACCCAGCTTTCTTACAATCCATATTTGCATTACCATGTGCATGGGATACACAGTCATATTTGCGAGTTCCAGACGATTCTACTATAATTTCAATTATGGGAAATTGTTTTGTCGACCAAAACGGAATTGTCACTCAGCCAACAGTTGATCAGAAGACATCTCTTACATTTACACTTTCTCTGCAAGCAGGAGCTTACAAAGACTTAATTATGCAATTTGCCTTCAGATTCACTGATTTAGATGGCAAAAGAATATTGCGTGTTATCAATGCAAAGTTCAGTTTAACTGATTTTGTCCAGCCATGTTTAGATGAACCTTCAATTGCTCTTTATTATTTAAGAAGATTACCAAACGAAACTAATCAATCTTTCTTCAATCAGAGAGCAAGTTACATCAAAGGATTCATCAAACAAGGTACAATAATGCCAAGAGCCCTTTATTTGATGAATCAAATTGATGAAATGAAATCTTTCATTTCAAGTGCTTCTGTTGAAAGATTTGCTTTGGCTGTTGTTCCAACAGAAGTTATCTACAAGGAAACTAAATACAGAGCTCTCTGGACTTATAATAGATTCATTTTAGATTCAGCTCCTTCTGATGAGTTTGCAACAAATATATTAGCCCTTATTAAGTTTTTAGGTACTGATTGGCTGCCAATTGATTTCAATAACAGTCAAGAAAATCAAATTTTGTTGGCTTCTGAAGAAACTTACGCAAGTGATTGGTATCTGAAGCTTATAACACAGAACATGTCATATTAATTCCTTGGATATTATCATCTATTGTTTCTTTTTGTGTTTATTAAATATTTTATCTCTTTTTAATATCTTTTTAATCTTTAATCAATCATGTTCAATGTGATCTAAGTGTCTAATAAATCTCTAATACGAATGAAAAGGAAATATAAAAGATTTTAATAAGCATTGAAAAATAATATGAAACCATAAAATTTGTCACATACATACTAATGTAAGAGTTGTCAAGTGATTCAAATGCAGAATTAATTCCGATATTAGATAAAATGCATCATTAACTAAATAAAAAGAGAAGAAAATGTGGAGCACCGCTGGTCTAATGGTAGAATTTCACCTTGCCAAGGTGGGGGTCCGGGTTCGATTCCCGGGCGGTGCAATACTTTTTCGATTTTTTTTTCTTCTTCTTCAATGGATGCCATTATCTTATTAGAAATTCCTATGAGTATATCAACACAATTTTTTCATACATCAAATGTTTAAAAACTTCAAATAAAATACATGAAATGAAATTTCAATTCTGATGAAATGAAATTAATCAATGGTGATGATGATGATTTATTTATTAAATTCGATACATCCATGTAAATTAACAAAAAAAACACATAATATCTTTATTTAAAACAATTAAAATATAAAATCTATTAAAAAATATTCTTTTCTCAAGAAAAGAACAAAATTAATATTATTCAGGATATGTAAACATCTTTCTTATCGCCGCGTGATTCGTTGCCAGCTGTAAAAACTCGTCATTTGTACAAATAATCGACCACATTCCAGCGCAAAAGTTGTGCCATGAATTGGAGATGTTGTCAGGTATCTGTGTCGCAATAATATCATTTGAGAGTATAAATGAGTGGCAAAACAAGAAAACAGGAAAAACAATTAATTGTCTATGAGTAGACATCAAAGCGTAGCAGAAAGCATTCGTCCAGAGGTCCTCGAACTTATCCCCAAGTATTGCATGCAGTTGTTTCTCGAATGCGATGACTTGTCTCAGCATTTTTCCAAATGTCCAATGAGATTCAGACAAAGCATCGACTTTTGATGCAATACAGTCTGCCAATCGCTTGTTTCCTGATACATTGAAGTTCTTTGGCACATAATTATAAAGAACAAGCTTGAATTTGTCGACAATTTGATATCCTCTTTTGGAAACTTTCAATCTGTAGCTATCCATGACAGCTAATATCAATTCCCAGTACATCTCAGGCGATATGTTATCTCTGAGGCCCGCTTTGTAGCAAATTGCGTCAATTATGCAATCCGAAATTGATTTTCCTTGAAGAAGGATATTCTTGAATACGGAGAGACTTTTATGATGCACTGCTTGAAGAAGAAGGGTATAGGAGGCATCACAATAGTTCATAAACTCTCTGAAATACTGTTCTTTTGTAATTGCGGTCAAAAACCTAAAGTAACTCTCTTTATGGTTTTTGAGGAGTTCATTAAGGAGATATGCTTCAACATTATCAGGAAATCCCATTTCTTTTATCGATTCTGAAAGCATTACATGGGAATCCTTGCTTCTTTTGATTATCGCCGCATAGGTTCTGTTGTACTCTTCAACATCTTCAAAATTATACGGGGAAGGTGCTGGGCCAAACATGACTTCTCCAAAAGATTCGAACTCAATATAGGGAAAACAAGGATAAACGTCGAAAATAACAGGAGAAAATGATTTCCTAAAGGTTGGAATAGCTTTTGGCCAATAAATAATATTGTTTGGATAAAAAGTACAAATTTCATAAAATAATTTGACATCGACATCACTAATTATCAAAGGAATTGCACCATGCCAGTTCAACTTTCCAAAAGAAAGCTGATCGAGCTTTGGTGACTCGCAGTAAACGAAGGAATTCAAGAATTCTAAAACGTCATCGTTGTATTGTTGGTTTTTGAGACGATCTAAGTATTTGAGATACGAATTTGAACGTTTTTGATTATGAAAATATGGGCATGCTGATGCAGCTGTTTTGTATGGTCGATATAACATATTTTCAACAAAAAAAGTTATTGCAAGCTTAGGAAATGCTTTGACGTAGGCTTCTAGAGCTGAAATATGATGCTGTGATACTGTTGGAATGGCTTCTTTTATTGATTTATTTGTAATATCAAAAAAGTGTTTGTCTTGTAAGTCTTTAAGTTCATTGTATTCACTCATGTTATGGCCTAATGAGCATAGAAAATGATCAAAAAATAATGTTACTCCTTTCATGAAAGATTTCAGTAAAATTGTAGCAAATTCTGAATCTTCGCAAGTCTTAAAGTAGTTACAAAGAAATTTACTTGCCGAAGCCGTGAATTCTTCCATCGAAAAATATCCATATATTGCAGGAAAAGTGATATAACCAAAAATAAAACGATTACTTAAGTCTTGGCTGAAGTAAACTCTAACGATATCAGCGAAGATTTCTGGGTTTTGATATATCTTTATAATGTTTAATGAGAAATTTTGAACAAACATTGCATCAAATAAGGCAAATGCTTTTTTTGGTGTTTTATCGATAATACGAAACATTGTTTTGATGTTTGGGGTATCAAAAAATCCAGTAGGATCAGAATTTGCATAGTCTAAGAGGTAATAATTTTTTAATGTTGCTAAATTCGCTGTATATTTCTGAAACATCTTGATATTTATCTGTTTATCAATTAATTTCACATCAATACCTTCGAAATGTGAATATTGTTTTACCTGGAAGTCGATTGCCACTTTGTACATCGAAATCCAGTAAAAAGAATTAGGATCCACCAAAACTTTACATGTCAAAATTTCAAAAACGATAATAATGATGCAATTTTGCATAATTAATATTGTTGTGTTTTTGTATATTTTTAAATATATTACAGGTTTAATTGTTCTTTACGATGAGAATAACCGTAAAAACGTCAGATTTTCTTTTCAAAAAATTGATTATAAAATCGCACCGAGATCGTCATATTAATTATAAACCTTACTGCAAGAATTTTATACTGGATATAAAGATTAGAGAATAACTCAATACAACTTATTTATTCCATTTTTTCAGATCCTAATGTTTATTCAAATTCATCAATTCAAGTAAATGAATTGATTATCGAGCTGTCTGATAGTATAATTCCAGATTTTCAAGTCAGTCATTTAGCTAATTAAAGTCTTAATCATATCTTTTAGCAATTTGACTTAAGAACTCTAAATTGAAACAAATCGGAATATTGAATAAAATATAATCGAATATAAATGATGATCTCTTAGAGCAGAAAATCGTGGATCTGATAATTTCAAGAAAAATATCCGAAATTTCATAATAATAGAAGGTTTTGGATCTAAAGTCATAAGTTCAATAAATAAAAACTTAAGGCAGTATTAAAAATAATTCAAAATTCGGAATTCTGATCGCAAAAAAAGAAAATCTAAATCATTTTCAAAGAAACATCATGTTATTTTTATATCTGTAGTAAAGTCAAATGAGGGAATAGTGACACATATTATTTTTGAACAAAATAAAGACAAAATCTAATAAGATTTAAAATCAGCAGCAAGGCTTCTTATCTTGCTTTGTATCTGTAAGCTTGAGTGTAATTTGTGGTCTATTGTTTGGATCCTTTGAGTTTGCGAGGTAAATTTCAATGATTTTCAAGAAACCATCCTGAACATTGGCTCCGCTTTTAGCTGAGACCTCGAAAAGAGGATATCCATTCTGTTCAGCCCACTGACGAGCATCTTCTATATTTACTTGCTTTTGGCTCTCAAGATCGGATTTGTTTGAGAATATAATGATTGGGAATTTCGGATCTGGTTCCATTTGTGATTTTGTGAATAAATCTTCTCTCCAAAAGCTTAAGCGGTGGAAGGATTCAACTTGTGTGCAATCGTAGACAAGAATGCAAGCATCTGTACCACGATAAAATGTAGCTCCAACAGCGTGGAAGCGTTCTTGACCTGCTGTATCCCATATCTGAATGTATATACGCTGACCATCAACGGTCATTATTTTTGAAGAAAAATCTGCTCCAATTGTTGCCTTAAAATCGGCAATGAATTCGCCGTTAACAAATTGGTGAATTAATGTTGTCTTACCTACACCTGTATCACCAAGGACAACAACTTTGAATGTCTTTGTTTTAGCGTCTTGTGACATCTACCTAAAAAAAATCTTTCTGAAATTTTTCGTCAAACCGACGGAATTATCAAAAGTTGATTTTGCAATCTGAGGGTTTGGAACCCGTTGATTATGATAACACATGACTAGATTTTAAATAAATATGAGTTTTCAGAAATCATTGCGATACCATACCCTGAATCTGCTGATAATGATTTGTATTAGGGTTAAAAGTGTTCTGCAAAGCTTGTATTGTATATGTACGTATTATAACAGTGATGTTCATACAGTCCAGAATCTGTTTTTGCGAGTATTATCCTCAAAATTTTGTATTTCAAATTGAAAATGTCAACTTTGAGCCTTAACAAATGTGAATTGGAATTTTAATAGTTTGTAATAGTCTGTGGTTCAATATGAAAACTAATTATTTATTCAAAATTAATCTTTTCAAATAAGGCCCCTACCCATTGGTTTTAAGTTACACCACTCACAGTATATCAAAAAGTAACTTTAACATTATTATGAATGATATGATTCAAAAAGCAATAATTCTTATACTAAAGATCATTTTATGATATCTTTGGTAATACCCTGTTTAAAACTATTGCATTTAAAAAAAAAAAAAAAAAAAAAAAAAGAGTAGTGGGGCTTCCAGGCACTTCGTGCCCTCTAGCCCCAAAGATGTTTAGTATACAATGAAGTATAAAATGAGGTTTTTTTGGGTGAAGCGGGCTTCCCAGGCACTTCGTGCCTTCTAGCCCTAAAAATTTTTGAAAGTCGTTGTCGTTGACTTTTCGGTAGAGGACTCAAAATAGTATAACTATGTCCGGACAAGTAAGGGTCTATCGTCGCTACAGTAAAGTTACGGGCGTTCCAAGGAAGTATACTTTGAGAAGCCTTTTCTGTCACTTTTCAGGTAAAAACATTTTTATTATATATATAAAATGAATTTTACAAAACCACCGTTACCCTTCTTTGGAAATAAGAGTAGATGTAAAGATATTCTATTGAGAGAACTTAAGAAACTACCGAATGGTCTAACATTTGTAGACTTGTTCGGTGGAAGTTTCTATATATCTCATTTGTGCCATACCGTATTCCCAGACGCAAAGATTATATGCAATGACTTCGACAACTATATGAACCGTCTCAAACATATACCAGACACAAACAAAATATTGAGTGAGTTGAAAGAAAAGATACCTATAGGTAAGATGGAACGTATACCATTAGATAAGAAAGATATTGTCAGAGAGGTTTTGAAAAAAGCAGAGTATATTGACTGGGATAGTATATCTTCTAGACTATTATATAGTGGTTCTATAAGAGTTCATGACATTGAAACACTTATGTCAAACGTTTTATATCTTAACTATACAAACGTTTTCAAAGAGAACATAGAAAAATATATTGAGGGTATAGAGTTTGTGAGATGTCATTGAACAGAGTTGTATGAAAAATTTAAAGACAAGGAAAATGTTTTCTTTATAGTAGACCCGCCGTTCTATAACACATACGATTTTCAATACCAAGTAGACTGGACTTTGAGAGACTCTTTAGAAACTTTAGACGTTTTACATAACCATCCATGCTTTTACTTTACATCCGATAAAAGTGGTTTGGAAAGTGTCATGAGATGGTTAGGGGACATACATGACTATGAGTTTAGATATGACAAGATAGAATATGAGAGAGGTCCTATAAACCGGAGAAAGTGTCATAACAAAGAAATTTTATTGGTAAGTAAATGTGGTTTGAAATAGGACTACTTGTTTTAGGTTTTTTCCATTGTGTCATTTACTTATTTGACGTGGCAGAAAGATATAGAGAATATGAAGATGAACCAATGTCTGCAAATGTTCAGCATATGTACTCGTAAGAGATATTTTTATCTAATATTAAATGGACGCACAGAACTTAGCGAATGCACAGCAACCTGGACAACCAAACCCAGAGAATATTCCAAATGAAGTTAGAATACAAACTGCAATGGCAAACTATGGTCAAGTGCCAACAGATGTACAAATGCAAACTGCCATGTCAAATGACGCTGCGTTAGGCTTACCACCATGGTATGCAAATATGAGATGGAAAGAGTTTTATACAAACCCTGAAGTGGGATATAAACAACTCTATGCAGATGACGCGAACACAGGAGTTGACCCAGAGTATGTTTTCTACCAGAGGAGAAATAGAATGTATGAGCTGCAGTTAAAGAATGCAATGGAACTCAACAGGAAACGTAAGAGACTAGGCGGACATTAGATTTTTACATATAGTAAAATGGGTTTCTTCAGTAGTATTGGAAACTTCTTCAGAAGAGTTGGAAGAGGTATATGGAATGGAATAAAATCTGTCGGAAGAGGAATTTGGAACGGTGTCAAAAATATTGGTAAAAGAGTAGGTCAGTTCGTTGGTATTATACCTAAAGACCCTGAACCAGAAGAACAAGCTCCTGTTATACAACAGCCTGAACCTGCACCACAGTCTAGTTGGCAACCAAATCCAACACCTCAACCGTATTAAAAAATTATATTTTTACCGTTCGATAGTAGTTGTATATGAAACTAAGTTCTAAGTAAAACGCATGGTATAATGGAATTATTCTCTTTCTTCCATCTGTAGTAAACCATACTTGAAAGTCTGAAATACTTCCACTCGGTGGTTCATATAGCTTTGTAGGTTTTTCGTAAAAGTCATTTGCCAAGCATAAAAAAGAGTTTTGTGCACCAGAAAATGAAGCATGAACTATAATAGCATCTGAGTCGAAAACATTTTCATATGTTCCATTAGGGTTTTCGACTTCATAAAAGTCCGGGTGTACTGGATATTCTGCAGGCTGATTTAACATCCTCAGAAACCTATACCATGCCAAGTTGTTATATTTTGTAGAAATATAAACGTTTTCTCCAAGGTCTTCTATTCTATTGAATTTAACAGTTGCATTTTTCCTGTCATATATAATATCGAGATGGTACTCTCCTTCGTCAATGTTGTACTGTTTTGCATATTCGAGATAGATATCGTTTATTTTTTCTTGAAAAGCTTGAAGAGTTGTTTCTAAGTTTACAAGCAAACTAACTTGTAAAAGTTTTCCCTGTTCAAATTTCTCATACGTACGTTTTTCTTTGTTATAGTATCGAATTTCAAAACCGACCGTAAATGGGAAACCATGTATGGCTTCTGAAATGAACTTCATTCTACGAAAGCCAATAGCTTTTGTGACGGATGGGTCTCTTAGCCATCTTAACGGGTAGTCAAAACGATAGCCTTCATGCTTTACGGTCTCTGTCTCAAACTTTTGACCGACATTCGTAAAAAGTTCATCTAATGGTTTAGTTGTAGCAACTCTTGAATTTTCTTTTTCTATTGAAAGCATATTTTATCTAGAATAAAAATGTCGAATGAAACAGCGTCTATGAGAGAAATACAACACAACCGACAACTCATTATACAAGCTCTAAATAAGAACACAACAAACTTTTCAAACTATTCTAAGATATCTGAGTCATTGAAAGAAGGAAACTTAAAACTGACATTAAACCCAATGACAGATGAGTTTCTATTTCAAGACAATAAGAACCATACTGTCTGTGTAAATCCAACAAAAGGAACTTTAAACGAGAAACCTATAAAAGAACTTCTTTTGAAAGCAGATATTGACAACAAAGCTGACAAAGAGTATGTCATTGAAAAAGTTCAAGAAGAACATGACAGAGCAGATGCAACATATGCAACGAAAGAGGATGTTGAAAAGAAAGCAGATAAAACATATGTTAACGATGAGTTAGCACTTGTGGCTAGTGCATTAGATAAGAAGGCAGATAAGGAATATGTGGATGAAAAAGACAATGAAATTATAGAAAGGGTTGAATGGTATGATGAACGGACAACAAAGATTTTAAAAACTAAAGCCGATACAGGATGGGTTTCAGGATGTTTAGACCTTAAAGCCGACAAGAACCATACACATACAAGTTTTACAACTTTTACAGCAGATGATATTACACTAAACACAACCTTGCCAAGTAAAGCTCCAACAATACCACCGGCAACAAGTCTTGTAGATACTTTGATATCTAATGACAATAGTATTATACATCTAAGACAGGAACTCAATGTGCTTAAACAAATTTTGCCGAATCTTATTTACCCGGTTGGCTCTATTTACACGTCAATGAACTCTACCAGACCAGAAGTAGTACTTGGTTTTGGAACTTGGACTCAAATAGTCGACAGGTTTTTGTATTGTGCAAACTCTTCAAAGGAAACAGGTGGAAGTAAAACGATTTCAGGTGAAAACTTACCTGCGCACAGTCACTACATAGATTTAAGTACATCTCAAGCAGGTTGGCATAAGCATAGATATTGGGATTGGTCAGCAATGATAAAAGGTAAAGGATATGATGTTAAAGACAACGTTAAGTTTGCTATAGATTGTTACTCCAGTAACACTGAGGGAGGAGGAAACCATATACATCGCGTTTCAGGGTATACGCAAACAACGGGACAAAGTAAAGACTACATGCCACCTTACATGACAGTTTACGCATGGTATAGAAATGCTTAGTCGTCATTTTCAACTTCTTTAGCATATTCGTCAGGAGTTGTCTTATATTTGTTAGGAACTGTCTTTGAAAGTATACCACCTTGAACTTTGACAAGTTTGAAACGAGGTCTGACAATAGTAGTTTTATCTTCTGCTTGCAGTCTGTACATTTTGCCATGTTTGCCTAAAACTTCATAATATTCTCTTGTATACTTTCTTCTATTTTTACGAACACGAATGTGAGTACCTGTCGGGTACTTGTTGTTGTCATAGTCAATAGTATTTTCATATGGGTCGCGTTTAGGTATTTCTATTTTTACTTTGTCACCTTTCTGAAGTTTGAAGCCCGGCATTCTTTCTTGTTAATCCCTTTTGACTAAACTATTAAATATATAGTCTTTCTCTAAGTCGGGGTTGTTTTTCATTTCTTCGGGGGAGTGGTTTCCCAAACCTTTTTGTTTACGGCTATTGTAAATATTTAAAACTTGTCTCATCTTTGCCATGGAGAAATGTCTATATTTGTCGTCATATGACATTTCATTTGCTTCACCACCTTGTGGTTGGTTTAAGTCTCTTAAGATTTTATACAACTGTCAATGACACCAAGAGCAGAATGGTTTTGGTCGACAATGAAATATTGGTTTACATTTTTTGAACGCAGATAGTTTTTAATATCGTCTGATTTGAAAGAACTTTCATAGTCAGATGTCAGTTTTGTTGGATGGTATTTGTCAACGAATATTGTCAAAGCAGTTTTCACATCTAAAATATTTTTGGACTGTAATGGTATGGCTTCACAGTATCTTGTGTTTTGACCGACAAATATTAGCCAGTATGGAGGTCCATCTTCTCTATACCTCGGAATGTTTTCCAAGATATCCATAAACCAAGCATTTGGTGTTGAACTAAAGATTTTTACCATGAGTGCTTTCTTTGTCGCCTTAGAAACATACGGGTCCTTGTTTGTATTCGTCATTTTTAACCCATAAGAAATGGGTTTATTTGGCGCATTAGCAGGAGTCGCATCTAGATTTTTACCCGCAGTGGGAACAATAGCCAGAGGTGTATTTGGAGTTGGAAGGAAGATTTTGAGTACGTTAGGTATACTTAAAGAGAAAGCACAACCTATTATACAAACTGTACAGAAAGGTTGGAGGTAGCACGAGATGCAGCAAATCTTATTCCAAATCCTGAAACAAGAGGAAAAGTTCAAGGATGGATGGACAATGTAGGAAGACAAGCAGGAAACTACTATAAACAAAAGCAAATGACTACTATAACCAAGCAGGGCACTATATGGACCAAGGTGAAAGATTCTTTAACAGAGGATATAACCATGCACAACAGTGGGTAAACAACAACCAACCTCAACCGCCTCAAACGTGGGGAATGTAAAATTTTTACTGAGATGAAATGAACAATACAGCATTGAGACAAATGGGTTCAAGATGGATTTGTCGGCTTCCAGCAGTTACACAACGTGTTTGTCAAGTTCTTCCTATACCTCAGGAAGTTTTAGACCGACTTAAAAAACCTAAACAACCAGTTGAAAACAAACCAAACTAAAATTTTTTACTGAGATGAAATGACCGAAGAAGTTGAAACGGTAGATTTGACACCACAAACAAAAAGTTCAGAACCATTGTCAAAACCTGTCAAAGAACTTACAGATGAAGAGAAAAATTCAATAATAGAAAGTGCCAGGTCTGGAAATACAAACCCTAACTACAAAGTCACTTTTCATAAAAATGGAACGGCTAGTATCTCAAAAAAGAAACAGACTCTCACAAATAAAATATTGAAGTCTGAAGGAGCTTTCGAGACAACAGATGGAAAAGTTTACTTCACTGACCAACAGTTCATTATAGAACATCTCATTGACTTAGAGTCGAA